GGGTAGGATTGCTCCTTGACATCTTTCTCACACTTTGATTTGAATCAGTTTATTGGCAAAGAGCCCATTTATCTGTAGTAGTCCATGTTCACCAGTCAGATGACTGAATGTAATTGTTAACGAGTAAAACTCACTCAAACATGTTTAAAACTGTGCTGCACCATGTGTGAGTCAGTATCTTTTAAAATGTCTGACAGCTGTGGTAATAATGTGACGTACAGTACCTCACCTTGAGTCACAGTTTAACTGAAGATATTTAGTCTGGATCAACAAACAGACACACATGGACAGTTTCAATGGTGTCTGAACAACTGGGAATTATTTAGTTGTTGCACATGACAAGTTATTGACAGACACATCATTTTTCTTGTAGATCTGTTGTTGTCTTCATTGGCACATTCTGCTACCTGCAGCTGGTTTTATGGTCAGTGGGAAATGCCAGTGACATAAGAGGTGGATAAAAAAAGACTTCAATTAAATTGGCCGCAGTTTTCAAAGCCTGAGCTCAGAACAATGGCCGATCTCCTGGGAACGTTGGATAGAGCAACACTTAAAAGGACAATTTCTGCTTTAATCATTTCTTCAGAACAAAATAATAAWAAGTGATTCAAACTAATGAAAGAACCCGACCATAAAAGGCAATAAAGATCATAGGAACTCTTGCACTAAATAGCGTGTATTCCAGCTGGATTTGAAAACTGTCGTGTAGATATTGAGCTGATCTCTGACTTTTGAGAGGACAATCTGAAAATTGGAGAGTAAAACTCATCTTCTGTCCTGCAGCACTGTGAAGCCACTAAGCCCTGACCTGTTCTGACCGACACCGTCCTGTTTCCACAAGATTTGAATATCATCTGACGTTGTTACATTACCCAGATCAGGAAAATGAAAAGAGCAAAATGTCTCAGGTCAAGTTGGAGCTGTCTGCATGATGTCCACTACTCTACGATAAGCTGGGCAGCAAAAACAAGCCCAAGTCCCAGCATGATGTCTTCCAGATGGATGAGGTCTTTCTGCTGGAATGCTCTGTTTTCTTTCTTCCAATCAGAAAGATTCTCATTGAATTCCTATTTTTGGTTTTATATCTTTACAAAAACATTTTTTACAACAGCCTTCTGGCGTTTTCCTGTGATTTGAAACAACCTGCAGGAAGACTGCAGTGTTCTAGAGGTTCTCCTTGTAGTCCTGCCACGAGTGGAATCACAAATATTAATATTAGCCAATGGAATAAAGGCCTTTACATGGATAAAAGACACTTTGAGTTCCTTCTGGTTTGACTGAATGCCTTGATCTCGGAGTGATCTTTGTTTAAGGAACATTCATGGAGGGCGTAACAATGGCCTTGAATTTCCTCTATTTCTGTTTCTGGATGTGGATAAAAACTCTTGGTAGAACTCATTTTTTAATACCAACGCGTTGTGTAATAATGTAATAAAATCAGGCTTCAAAATGTAATAAACTTGCACTAAAACCACATTATGTAACAACTGACGCAAAATGTAATAAAAGTCTTCAACGCATTTTGTAATATTCGCAGCTGCATTATGTAATTAGATTATTACATTTTGCGGCAATTGTTACAAAATGTGGTGGTGTAATAATCTGGTGCATTATGTAATAAACAATCAAAAACCGGTTTTTCTGTWMATTCTAATCAATATACTTGTAATAACTGTCATGTTGCAAATACACTACATAATTAAATCTTTATAACTTTGGTCAATAAACACAGAACTTCTCATTATTTATTTGCATTTTCAGATTTACTGTCCCTGTTACAGAAATTATTCCACTTTGTAGACAACTCTCAAAATATATCTAAAAGTTAGTTGTCAACCCATTCAGATGTTTACTTGTATAATGAGCCTTAAAAATACGTAATTTTTGTAAAAATAATCTGTATTAATCACACGCAGGGGAGGGGGGAGGGGTGCAGGTGGACTGACGGCTGTAGCAAAATCAGAAGTAAATGAGGGTGGAAGAAGTTGTTTCTAGCATTGGAGTTGGTTGGAAGTGGATATTTGATGTTAATTGTTTTTAACGTCCTACAGGCTCTGACATGTTGA